CGCGTCCAGACAAGACGCGATAAATCAAACCCAGAAGTTCGATTGCCAGCCGCCTAACTAGCGGCTGGGTATAGACGTACCCTCAGGTGCATAGAAAGCTGGCTAGATTGTCGGGCTCAACAGGTAATGATCAACAGCTCGATGTCTAGTTGGCAGCCGATATCAAGTGGAGTGTGCCAGGGGTCGGTCCTGGGGTCAGTTTTGTTCAACATCTTTATTAATAACCTGGATGATGGGATGGATTGCACCCTCAGCAAGTTTGCTGATGACACTAAATTGTGGGAAGAGGTAGATATGCTGGACAGTAGGGATAGGGTCCAGAGTGACCTAGACAAATTGGAGGATTGGGCCAAAAGAAATCTGATGAGGTTCAACAAGGACAAGTGCAGAGTCCTGCAGTTAGAACAGAAGAATCCCATGCACCACTACAGGCAGGGGACCGACTGGCTAAGCCGCAATTCTGCAGAAAAGGACCTAGGGATTACCGTGGAGGAGAAGCTAGATATGAATCAGCAGTGTGCCCTTGTTGCCAAGAAGGCTAAAGGCATATTGGGCTGCATTAGTAGGAGCATTACCAGCAGATCGAGGCAAGTGATTATTCCCCTCTATTTGGCACTGGTGAGGCCACATCTGGAGTATTGCGTCCAGTTTTGGGCCCCCTGCTACAGAAAGGATGTGGACAAATTGGAGAGAGCCCAGAGAAGGGCAACAAAAATGATCAGGGGGCTGGGGCACATGACTCACGAGGAGAGGCTGAGGGAACTAGGCTTGTTTAGTCTGCAGAACAGAAGACTGGGGGGGAGAGGGGGAGGGGATTTGATAGCAGCCTTCAACTACCTGAAGGGGGGTTCCAAAGAGGATGGAGCTAGGCTGTTTTCAGTGGTGGCAGATGACAGATCAAGGAGCAATGGTCTCAAGTTGCAGTGTGGGGGGTCTAGGTTGGATATTAGGAAATGCTATTTCACTAGGAAGGGCTCTGCTACTGGCCCCTCATGCAGAGTCCTGGCTGCAGGCCCTGTGCTCGGGGCTCTGCTCCTGGCCCCATGCCTTGCCCCCCTACCCCTGTACAGGTCCCCCCCCTCCCAGAAACATGGCACTGCTCCTGGCCCCAGCTAGGGGGAAGGGGGACGGACAGGGGTAAGAGGGCTGGCTTTCAGCACCCACACTATTAAAAGGGTTCCAGTGCCACTGCTTCTGTGTGTGTGATTTGTCTATTTTTGTTTTCTAGGAAATGGGATCAAATTTTAACAAGAACAGCTGTGACAGCTCCAGTCCATCACTTAACATCTCTCTAACTTCCATAATAATGTAGTGTAATGATTGACTAATAACAAATCTAAATGAATACATTTGCATTTATATTTATTTAAAGACAGCCCTAACACATCATGAAGCAAGCAAACAATTGGAGCAGCAGAAATAGAAATAAAGGTGACATTGGTAATTTAAAGTAGTGAGTTTATTCTAAAAAGTGTTAAGTGCCAGAGGCATAACCAAGAACATCAGTACAATATTTCTAGCTGAAATCTATCTTGAGGATAATTGAGCAAATTTTAGTTTAGAAAGTGACTGACTTCACAGATGCAGGGCTTATTTTTGGAGGATTCATTATTTTGTAATACCTTGTGTTGATGAGTACGTAAAGTACCTACTGCAGGGGATCTTACCAGTCATTCCCTGTGTCATATTTTGTTCAGGCTAGCTGAACTTTAACTATTCTAGCTTAGAAATGGGTTGTTCACCTTTTTTGTCCTTCAGCCTCTCCTTTTTTTCTCACCCACAAACTGCCTCTCTTCACCATCTCAAAGGTGTTTTCCCCTCTGTCTTCTCCAGTCAATGTTTCCCTCCTGCCACCACCCATTTATCTAGCATAAGGGTGCAGGGATTTTTTGTGGAGTCTGGTGAGTTGAAGTAACTTCTCCTGCTTTTCTTTGTCTAATATCTAACAACATTAATATAAGGATCCCTTCCCCAGACTTTCCAAACTATATACGATGAATGACAGGGAAATATATTAAACAAAAGGAGCAGAAATAAATGTCATTCACTAAAGCTGTATCCCTTTACTTCCCCTCTTCTATTTATCTCTCCCTTTCTTTTTCTCTCCTCACAGCTTTGCTTCCTCACTATCTCAGCCCATCTCTTTCTTCAGTGCCTCGGGAGAAGCTGAGAGAGAGAGAATTAACCACAGGTGACAGTCACATCACTAAATGCACTATGGGTAGGCTCTCGGATACTACAATGATGAGGACAGTATAAGAATCTGAACAGAATAGAATGCCTTCTGCTCAGAGGTCACTGCCGGTCTCCCTCCTCTCTTCTCACTTCCCCTTCTCTTTTTCTACCCTTACAATAAATGTATAGAACTTGGTAATTACTCTTTAGGAATTCATCTGTGTGTCTGACCTGAACAGGTATGATACTAGCTAGAGGGGGAAAAAAAAACAATATAGGGCTTGACTGGATCCCTAGCAAACAACCAGAGGAGCATTACTAGGAGCATTACTAGCTGCCACAGGAGCTGTGCAAACAGGGAACTCTGGACTCAAGTAGCCATAATTCCTGCCCTGTTCCCCCTTACTTCGAATTTACGGCTGACCTATGCTAGTAGTAAATCTCTATTTCAGCATGCTGGATCAGCTAGCTGTACTAGCCTATGTTAGGAGGGATGGAGCCATGGTGTCGTATCCATTCCCCACCACTCCTTGCCCACCTACTCTGGGGGAGACAGATTCGCAAGTATGGAGAGCTCCTTACCACTGGACCCAGATTCTAGGTAGCCTGCACAAGAGAGTAAGAATGGAAATGTTAAGTGCTATACCCAAGAAGACTTTCGCAGTGCACCTCAAGAAGTTTGTGTCCCTACAAAAGACAAAAATTATGCTATGTCTTCTTGAGTGCCATTTACTGGCACTTTATCATCCATATTTTCAATAGAGCACTCCTTGGAGGGAGGGAGAAGGAATTACTTTTCCTTACTCACCTGAGTAGGCTCAGATACACAGAACAGCATGTGCTGTGATCAGAAGTAGCTGGGATTGCAATTTTACTTATGTTGTGCACAAATTGTTTTAGAGATGGCTCCTTTCATTAATATTTTCAATGTACCCATTAATTTATTAAGCACTTGCCCCTTTCCTTAGTGCTCTTCAGAGCTTGAATGCCAAGAAGACTGATTTCCTGGTAAATCTGTGTTATAAGTAGGGAGGAGCTGAATTTAATTTAATTTTTTGATCTCACTGTTTGCTCTGGTCATATGTATTTGTAATATTAGTTTAAACACCTGCAGGCCCCACTTGCAAGGAGTCCTATTTTGCCTCTGGTAAGGCAGAGACACTGTCCACTTCTGAGGTGACCTACATCCGGAGAGCTGGCCTGTAGCTTGGAGACAATACCTTTGAGGAGGATAGGTCAATGGCTATTGGAGGAGATGGGCTGGCTGAGACTTGTCTGTGCCTTCAGTCCTATCCTATTCCTCTCTTCCCACCTGATATTGGCAGGACAGTAACTCTTCACTTAACATTGTAGTTATGTGCCTGAAAAATGCGACTGTAAGTGAAACAATGTTAAGCAAATCCAATTTCCCCATAAGAATTAATGTAAATAAGGGGGGGGTTAGGTTCTAGGGATTTTTTTTTTTTTTGGCCAGACAAAAGGCATTATATACATTTTAAACAAGTAATTTAATACAGGTATAAGTTTTAAAGAAACAATTTAATACTACAATCATCACTGCTGAGTATGAAGCTTGGTTGAGGTGGTGGAGTCAGAGTGGAAAGGGATGGATTGTCCAGTTGCTCCTCTTGCTGTTCTTGCAAGCACAGGCACTGACTTTGCTGGGGGCACGGGGCTCAAACCTTGGCCCATCCACTCCACCCCTGCCCCCAAGCTGCCACCCTTGACCCACCTCTTCTCCCCCCCACCTCCTCCGTCTTTACCTCGCTTGCTGCATCCTCGCTCCTCCCCATTCCCTCCTAAATGCTGCAAGCCAGCTGATTGCCACGCGCAGGAGGGAGGGGGAAGGTGCACCGAGTCCTCGCTCTTCTCCCCTCCCTCCTGCCCAGGGCAATCAGCTGGCTTGTGGCATTTAGGAGGGAGGACTTGGCGTGCAGGCTACCCCTTCTCTTCTCCCTCCTCTCCCCCCCTCCCCCCCCCACGGACAATCGGCTGGTTTGCAGTGTTCAGGAGGCAGGGGAGGGAGCGGGAGCCTGTGTGCCGAGTCATCGCTCCAGTTGACTTAGGAGGAGCAGAATTATACCAGTTTCAGAACCTTCAAAATGGCTTATCTTGGGTATGGGGGAAGAAATAGGTAAAGGTTTGAAAAGGTGTTAGGTTCTGACCTCAGATTGTCCATTTCTACAAATTTTACACAAATCCTATTTCTTCTTGTAAGAAGGAAGAGTAGTTTTAATTCATGACACAAGGTAAAATGAAACATTACAAAATATCCTATTTAAATGCTCTCATATTTCAAGAATTCTTTTCATTTTTATTAAGTCTTTTCATTTAGTACACTAATATTATTCAAAATAGTACTGATTACAAAATCAATCACATTAAATGGAAGCTGTATAGTTTAATCTGGGAGTACAATATTCAGTAACATTTCATTAATTAAAATGCCTTTGGCACAATGTGGAATATTTGCCCCTCTCTCTCTCACACAATAGTTTTAAAAAACATTCTGATGATTACTATGAAATACAGGTGAAGGACTTTGGTTAATATTCTTTAAACAGCCCTTCAAAACTTGTTTCAAAGTAATTTTCTCTTCAACCAGAAAAAGTAAGTTAGATCTTTGGGCCCAATTACCTGAAATAGCCTTCGATTTTTTGTGCCTGCAAACATGTGTATTTTATACAGCACGGAGGTGTCTGTTTACCAGATTAGTCCTGCAAATCAGGTAGCTAGACACCCAAGTGCTATAAAATGCCCTGTAGTTATGTTTGCACGTCTGTGCTCACAAATGAACAAGTCCTAAGCACCAGCTAATGGGGGCTGGAGGGTGAGTGGAGGGGGAAGCAGAGGGATGGGGGAGTGCAGGTGGAGATGGAAGAAGCAGGGACATGGAGGTGAATGGAAATGGGGAGGAGAGAATGGAGGGGCAATAGTATGGAGGGAGGGGAAACAGGGGACACAGAGCCCCCGGCATGGGGGATTATGGGAGCCACACAGAGTCCCTGCCATGGGTGAGAGAATGGGGCACAATGGGGGGAGGAAGAGGTTGGGTACACCCAGAAGCCTGGTCATAAGGGAGTGGGGGGGAAATGCAGAGAGTCCCTGAAAGGGAGTGGGAGGGTAGCCCACAGGGAGCTTGTGTGGGGGAATGGAGAGATGGATAGAGTCCCTTGTGTGTGCAGAACACTTGGCCTGTGTGAGTTACAAAGTGTGCACCCTCCTAGTGGAGCTAGGAACATATACAGCTGTGCTGGACTACAAGTCTTCACATACCATTTTAAAAATTATTTTACCCCAGTTTTTGTGAACAGTCTGATACAATTACATTCTTGTGGGATTAGCCAAACTCTTCTGACAACAGCTTTCAGCCTGGAGTTGTATCAACTGGGTATTTTGCTCAGTCTTCTCCCACTAGTGTACTCCCCTCCTGAAGTCCATGTGAGAGGGGCTTAAGTTAACAGTGTTGTTAGTTTTTCATACTATCAAAACAAAATATACTAGTCCCTATGATAGATGGCCAGGTAGTAAGTCATGCTAAAGTTTTTTTACAAATGTTATCCCATTTCTGCAGAGGGAAAAACTCCAACAAATAGGTTAAATAACTTTCCCTTGGCCATGGAGGAGTCAATGTGAATGCTGACGTTAGAATTCTGGAGTCCCCGCCCCATTTTCATATTAGGTCATACATCCATCTCTCTCTCTCTCTCTAATGCCTTTATCTCCAACTTCTAGAGTGTCTATTTAATATAATTATGTTCTTTGATTTAATCCCCTTAAGGGATGGCTTATCCCACATGCTTATTATTCTTTACATGAAATAGTTCTGCCTGAGTTCACTGGTCACCATCATTTTTATATTATACCTTTAGCTTTTCATCTCCTCACCAGTGTGAAAAAATATCTCTAGCATGAATTCCCTTAGTGATTCTGAAATCTTGTTGCATCTCACTTTGAAGTCTCTTTTCCCATGGGAATAAACTCAACTTCTTTAGTTCTCAGATTCATAGATGCCAAAGCCAGAAGGGATCATTGTGGTTGTCTAGTCTGACCTTCTGTATAACACAGCCCATAGAACTTTCCCAAAATAATTCTTAGATCATATCCTTTAGGAAAAATATCCCGTCTTGATTTAAAAATTTTCAGTGATGGAGAATTCACCACAACCGTTGGT